TCCATCAGAACTCGGGATGGCTTATTAAGGACTCTGGCCTCCACCCAAAGCGGATAACTTATATACATACCTTTGAACATGATCTAGCTATTATACTCAATGTAATACCAAGGCTGAGCCCCCACCTTTCTTCTCGAAATTGTGTGAAAATATAAATGTTGTTCTCGGGTAGCTAACTCCTCAAGCTACATAAAAATATACACAAATGTACTAAGTACTATGCTCATATACTCAATAATATGTTTTAACATCAACTGATAACTTATCTGAATCTTAAAAAGATTCTGGCTATAGCTCAAACGAACACTAATTCATTGAACAACTTAACTTGAACTTTTACTTAAGGCCAAATTTAAACCATATAAATCATGATTTCTGAATCTTAGATATTGACTTATACTCTCATGTAACTTAAATTGACTCGGAAGTGAAAATAAGCTAAATTTCACATAATAGATGACTGAGTACATGAACTCAAAACATGCTCAACTTTTATCAACATCATACACATGATTTATAAGTATTTATAGCTATCAAGCTGGGCTTAAACATGCTTGGTACTAAAAATTCAAATTTAAGGCATATTTAACTCAAGTGTTAATCATAACATGAAAATATGCTATTTACATGCAAAACTTCAACAATTTTCTAATATCGTATAATCCACATATTAAGATAAAACTTGGTCAAATTGTTCATCCCTCATGTGAGAATTTTAAATAAAAGTTTCATGTTAAAAACTCAAACTTGGACTGAGTACTCTTGCATATAAAATCATCTTGACATATATGGGGTATAAATATTTTAACTCATTCATTTCTCAGCCTAAAATCATGAAATTTTACAAGCATGATCTCAACACATACATAGACATGTCATAAAAATTTCATAATTTTATCATGCATATATCTCAACTTATTCCCGTTCAAAGTTACTGCTGGAAACATGCATATAAAATTCAGCTTGCATGATAAACTTTAAAAAATTATAACTCGAGCTATACTTAACCAAAAGACATGATTCTTGCTCCTATGTACTCATCATTTACACAAAAACAAAAATAACCATAATAATTTTAATATACCAGGTTATACATAGCATGCTTAATTCGAAATCAAACAACACATAACAATCATGCATACGATCTAACATAACTTCTTACTTCATGACATGATTATAAATACTTAAAGGCTGGAACTTTAACACATTCTAACACATATTAAGGCACTTTAAATTATCTATAAATCATGCTAAAAGAATGACTTATTACCTTCTTCTTCTTGCTTGAAAATAAAATTTGCACTAGAAAATTGATTCTTCACCTCTCCAAAATTCCCACAACTTATTTCTCTCTAATGAGTTATATTACTCTTGATTTTTTTTTTTTTTTATGAAAATAATCTGATTTAAAGCCTCTATTTATAGCAACAAAAGAGGGGACAAGATGATTGAGTGAAGAAATAAATAAAAATAAACAAACATAACTTATTAAAATTAATAAAGATAAAAAAATGAAATCATAACTTGTAAACTTCTCTAATGTATAGTCAATGCTTAAAAATACCCCATAATGTGATACTCATCTGATTGGCATTAAATAATTCGTGAAATAAGGAAAAATCTAGAATTTATGGAACCAAATTCTGATTTAAAATGAACCGTTACCGTAAAATCGAAAATTCTGACAATTTCAGATTTCTTTCTTTTTCTTTTGGCATTTTTCCTTTTAATGCTAAAAAACTTTTCTTATCTTGTAGTCTACTAAAAATCTAAAAAGAAAATAATTTAATTTATTTTCCGGAAGTGAAATCGGAGTTAAATTCCGACTACAATCAAAAACTTAAAACCCGAAAATTTTAAAACCTTCTTATTTCTCTCTTAATAATTTAAATAGACTAAAATGTCTAAATAATTTATTTTACTCAAATGATTAATTTAGACACTCATGTAAACTTAATCATAAAACTTATAAGACTACTCGAAATAATGAATCCCTACTAATAAAATCGATTTCTAAAAGTAAACGAACCGGAACTAATTAATGATCTGGCTTGATTAGTAAATAAAATTTAACCGAGAATACTTTCAACTTAAAGTCAAACTTATAACTTATAACTTAATAACTGATTGGGATATTACAAAAAACATCAAAGAAAACTTACAATATCCAGAAGAAATGTTCATTGGGATCGTCATGCCGTCTATAGGAGTCTCCTCGACAAAATCCACAGACTTCCAATAACCCCCGACCCATGACCATTCTTCTTGGAATCCATGAAGAGTATTCGGAACATCCTTTATCAACTCACCAATTTTAAAGCCAGTACCTGCTTTCGCACCAGCAAAAAAGCAACATGATGGTCCAGCAACTTTCCTATTCGAGCTTCTCTTTAAAGTGTAAATACTCCGTATATCTGCACAGAAAGGCAACCCAATCCCTCAGATAATCAGTAATAATATTTGGCAAAGGAAATCTCAAACCCGACCTCAAGGATTCAGCAAAAACTCCTACACAATCAGGAGGAGGGGAAGTAATTCTCTCACCAGGATACGAAGAAAATAATTTAACTGAGGGTGGAACTCGGATTTGTTCTCGCAACATAACTACATCGACATCAGTTAGAATACTCGGCTCACCTTCGTAATCTACTGTTACATCGAGCCACCTCTTTTCCGGTCGTCTCCAATGATTCTTCAATACCATGGCATTCACCTCCACCAACTCATCCTCTTCGGTACTATTAGGTTTTACCTCGAGATGGACAACATAACTCGGATCCCACCGATAGTATTCATAAGCCAACTCGACAAGCTCGGAATCATGATACATGGAAACCAATTTCGAGACTGTTCTATCTGAAGAATCCTCGCTACCGATGTCTTGTGAAGCCATGGTTCAAATCTCACAAGCGAACTGAAATGAAAGACAGAATGCAATAACCAAAAAATTACAAATAAGACTCACCCTCAAAGTCAAAAAGTTACAGTAGAATTCTTCGACGACACAGAAATCACACTTAAAACGAAGTTCAGAGTATTATACAAGTCCCAGGAGTTGCAAAAGCAAAAATTTCGTCAAAATACCAAAACAGATTATTTATAATTTATGGATTTTGACCGTTACGTCCTTTAATTGGGGGCGCGTGAGTCCCACGCAAGACGTTCCCCTAGACGACGTGACCCTTCATCTGCACCACACGTGTCGGTCTAGGAAAACGACCGTTATTTGCATTTACTCCAACGCGGCGCTTCACTATACGTCACATTAATTAATCTTTCTGTTACACCGCCTCAAGGTTTCACACCTATTGAAAGTATCAAGAGAGATGATTTCAAGTGTTCTCACTTCGGTCCGCCTTACCGAAAATCATCCTCCACTCCGGAATACCAACAAATATCAACATTATCTCAGTTTGACACGTCAGATCAGATATCTTTCTCATTTTTTCATTATCAACGATCACAACTGTGTGTAATCGTTAATATCGGGTGCCTCTCTGTTATTACCTTACCTGATGAACCTTTATTAAAACTGAGCCAAAGGTTTACTTAACAAATAAGAGTGTAATAACTACCCGTTCAACCAAATTGATTCCACCTCGGTCTAAATTGGAACGTCTCACATCGGTTCTGATCAACGTCAACATACCGAGATGAATCTCAACCGAGGTCACCAAAATCAAAACTGATAAGACACCCTCATAATGCATCCTCATATCAAAGCATTCAACATGATACCAGGTGGGACCCGCTGACAATGCCGCCCATCAAAAGTAGCTTTACAGAAAAGGCATCGTACAAATCCCAATGTTTGTAACCAAAAGTTACTATAAATATCTAATCTGTATACTTGTACGGGGATCGAATCCTGAACATTTTCAACAAGAAACACGTAACAGCTCACTGTAGCTTTTCACCTCGGTTCACCTTGGACCAGGGCCATCGTCTTCGTTTGATTACGCAATTTCTTTTAATTACTCACATAAATTGATCCAGCATCAATGTAAACCCGTTGTTTTACTCCACATAACAAGAATTCATCTTCGATTCGCTTTGTATGTGCTTGACGAGTCGAGCTTGCCGCCTACCCATTATTGTTTGTGCTTCACTTGCTTTCGACCAGGTGGGTTTTTATTTGAAATTGATATGTCTTAAATGTTATTAATGATTTCGTGGTATGATCAAAGTATGCATGTGGATCATGTAGACTTCGATGTGAGTTGTACCGGCCGTCGAACGGTTATCCCCGTAGCTGTAGAATGTACCCTTTGAGTAGTCTCCTTTGAGAGCCGTAAGACTAGGACTTAGCCCTTGTTTGCTTTTGGGGATGGGATTGGACTAATATAGTCCAACTGGAAAGGATTATACTGTTGGAATTGAATTAATCATATATTTGTTATACAGGATAAGAGGTAGGATAAGTTTAGATTAAAAATTAAATAAAAAATGTGTAGGTAGTGTAAAATACTTTTATACCCTTTCAATTAAACCAAAAATTATTAAAATGAGGGTAAATTTGACTTTAGCTTCTTGGGATTGAATTAATCCTATGTAAATGGAGGGATTCAATTATCCTGATTTCATGGGATAACTCACTTTTTTTATCCCGGGCCGACCCAATCCTGCGGGCCTTAATACAACGAACCAAACGTAGGATTAGGCTAGGATTAGACAGGATATCCTGCCTAATCCTACAAAACAAACAGGGCCTTAGGTCCCTCGGCTGGGTTCAAGGCAAAATTGAATGATAAGAATTGGTATTATAGAAGGTGGACTTGTTAAATTGAGGCGTCGTGGCAATATAGCGTACGTGTCGATTACAAGGAAGCTAAGTGTCATGCAGGCCGCTACTTGTACTGCCTATGCATTTGCATGCTCGCCACGCATTTTGCCCTCTTTCTTTTCTCCTATTTATAAGCCCACCCTTTTCTCCCCGGAACTACTCTACTTGGTCTATCTTAGCCAAAGGGTCTTGTTTTAATTTGTTTGTAGAGAGAGAGATGGCGTCTACCGTTGTGGCTGCCGGCGTCGATAGAAACGCTGCGATGGCTTCAGATGCGCCGCTTGCCCCGGTTACTTTGGAGCGCCCTGTGCGCACCGACTTGGAAACAACAATTCCAAAGCCTTGTGAGAGATTCTTTTCTTTTACAAATCATTTCCGCCCATTACTTATACATTACCTAATGATGTTATTTTTATATCTTGAAATTGAGGTGTTTCTACATCTCTTCTTCTTTTAAGTCTCTGGTAAAGGTAAATTCACACCGGATTTTTTCTCAATTTCATTTCTGATGGTAAATTTTCACAAATAAATGGTACTCTTGTTAAATGATTTTTTTTTTATTTTTTAATTTTTTTATAAATTTTATCATTATGTATATCAATTAGAAGAAAAAAACAGTGTATTCTTAATGTCAAAACTGCATGTAGATTTTGAAAGGATAGTGAAAAGTGGTTTAACTTCTTCCTGGATATTATGCATTATCATCCATTAGTTGAAATAATAGTGAATTTAATAATCTTGCGAAGCATTTGTGATATATATGATAATGTGATTTAAGATATGGCAAGAGGATTGGTTGCACCAGACAGTGATCACCCGAACGGGACACCCGGCCACCCACACCACAACCTCAGTGTCCTCCAACAACACTGTGCCTTCTTTGACCAAGACGACAACGGGATCATCTACCCGTGGGAGACCTATGCCGGTACCAATTAATTGTGTCATCATCAAAATCCCCAATTCCATTAATTAATCTATCTTGTTAAATTGCATTATAAAGACACTTGATTGTTCTTATTGGGTCTCAAAAGGCTTTCGCCAGATCGGCTTCAACATGATTGCGTCACTCATAATGGCGGTCGTCATTAATATGGGGTTGAGTTATCCGACACTCCCTGTAAGCTCTGTGATTTTGTAATATAGTAATATATATCTTCACTTTGCTTTTGTTTTTTGGTTCAATTGTGATGATGATGATGATGATGATTCAGGGTTGGATTCCGTCACCTTTCTTTCCAATATATCTGTACAATGTGCACAAGTCGAAGCACGGGAGCGACTCTGGGACCTACGATAAGGAAGGGAGGTATGACATCACTTCTTCATCATCCTATTATTTACTTACAAATATATCATTTAATTTAATTTAGTTTTTCCTTGTGTAGGTATTCCCCTGTTAATTTCGAGAACATATTCAGCAAACACGCACGGACCTTCCCTGACAAGCTCACCTTGGGAGAGCTGTGGAGCATGACTGAGGCCAACCGAGAAGCTTTTGATGTTTTTGGCTGGTAAGCCTTTTTGGCTTTTGGTTGATCGGTATTGACAAATATCAGAACAATAATCATGTGGTGTTGTTTGGGTGAAATAGTAAGAATATTGTGATTGTGCAGGATAGCGAACAAGATGGAGTGGTTGGTGCTGTACATACTGGCAAGGGACCAAGATGGCTACCTCTCCAAAGAGGCCATCAGGCGTTGTTTTGATGGCAGCCTGTTCGAATACTGTGCCAAAATGCACAGAGGAGCTGAGGAGAAGATGAAGTAAATTTCCAACTTTGTGTGGATGAATGAATGATGACTTGTGTTAATGTATATCTTTTTTTTTTT